AGGTAACTGAGGTTAGGTAGTGCGGTATTACCAGCGCAAAATTCTACTGTCTTTTAAGACTGAATCATGCGGTGCGTTGGCCTGCACTGGAGAAAGCGGCTAACGCTGGAACCCGTTTCAGTCTTCTTGACTCTGGGTGAAGGTGTACAGGCGTACAGTACGGTGTGCAATATCTACAATCACTTTAAACTAACCCCTGTCACCAGTCACCTTCCCTGTACCAACCTGTTTGGAGCATATGGCGGATTTCATCGAAATCGATGGGCGAATTACCAGGGCAAGCAGAGCATTTTCGAGAACCGCAAAAAGTCACATAAGTTGAGTGCAAATGATAGTCAATAAAAAAACGAACGGAAACCAGAACAACAGATGTGTTGCTTTCCCAGTTGTGAAATTTGAACATTTTAAAAAGAAATTCCTTTCAAAAGTGCGACATGATGGTTCACGTAGAGGAAAGTAGGAGAGGGGTGGTGGAAACAGTACCTTTTGGGATTTGTTGGTTTTGTCAGCTAAAGAAAGAGTAATCTTGCGATGTGTGAAAGACTCAGTGGAGTGGGGCCTAAAGAGAAAAAAAAACAAAGGTTTAAGGTAACACTACAAGAAAGGAGTCATCAGCATCAGGCGAAGACATTACCTAGTACGGACCGTAATTATGGATACGAACGTTCATGATGAGAAACTAGCAGAAAATAGGCGAAGTGATGGACTGGATAGAAAAGGCGATCGATAGGAGATCTCTAATAGTTTATAATTATGCATCTCGTGAAAACGAGTAGGACCGCAATTTTTAATTTAAAGGTTACTTAGCATTGCTCAGTAATGAATCGCTAAGAAGGGCCCGAGCTTCTCTTCTTTAAAATTCACATAAACTTTTGTTCAGAACGAATAAACCATTAGGATGCCTCAAAATAGATCTCAACACACTAAGACAAGCGCTGAGCGACGCGAGAGCGATCGTAAACTCGAATGGTTCTCAGTTGTCGAGCAGCATCACGGGCCCAAGTGACTTTGATACAAGTTATGAAGAACATGGATTGCCCGCAGAGATTCAAGAAGATTGCCGATTTTAAGAGCAAAAATCGCGACAGAAACCGATTAGCTAAAAACTGAGAAATATATAAAAATGGCAAAGCAGCGTAATCTTCAAAGAGGCGGCATTAAAATAAGAAAGCCTTGGCTAATAGAGTATGAAGAAAAGTAGATGACAAAATAAAATTTACCTAAATGTCAGTTTCGTCTTGAAGACTGATTGACCCTGAAGTCCGCTGCCCTCTCGGATGAACAGGTGGTTGAAATCAGATTGAATGTCCATCTTGTGTATATCAAAGATCTCGTTGCCAAGGTAAAGTGAAAGCGAACCATCGGACCATCTGACTATGCGAGCATTCGACTCGTGGATTGTCTCACCAGCTTCATTCTTGCCTAAACGCCATCTTATTGTGTTTTCAACCTAGAAGGAATTGATCACGGCGATTATTTGATGAACGTCATGAGCACAATTTCAAGCAATGTGCGTCTGAACGTGACTAACATACGATTTGTTCGTACATGATAAACCAAATATTAGGAGGAATATAATTAGTAATGGTAGTAGCAGCAGTAGTAGTAGTAGCGGTAGTAGTAGCAGTTGGAATATAAGTAGTAGTGCTATCAGTAGCAGTAATAGTAAGAACAGTAGAAGTTGGAATATAAATAGCAATAATAGAAATAGTATTAGTTGGAATACAAGTAGTAGTGTCAGTAGTAGTAGAAGTTGGAATATAAGTG